CTTCCAAAGATTTTTTTAAAATGCTAATTGACAGTCAAAGCACAAATTGTTCCTAAAGTAACAACTATTTAGTTGCACATTAAGCTAATTTACAAATGCTACTTACATTCTAAAAACAAAACATCAAATGAGAAACAATAAAGCATATTATGTTTCCTATGCTGGTGAATCACACATGGTCAATCACCAAAGAGAAGAGTGATTTATGCTCAAACCCAGCCAAGACTTTAATCAATATTGGGTGTCACATCTCAGGAGGTTGGGGGAGGAGGGAAGCAAAAAGAGAAGGTTCATCTTGGCCTCAGCAATTTATATGCAACCTCCATGAAATGTAGTAGATTATGTAAAAAATAACCACAGACTGGACTTACAAACTCAAGATTTTAAAACTCTGTATTAGAGGCAAATACAAACATTTCTATATACGGGAACTCTGAAAAACTGTCTTGAAGTGTATTTTTCATAACACCTGAAGCTTCACAAAAGAAAATATCATATGTACAAATAAAGTGCCTGAGAGCACAAACTAATGATCTGTGGAGGTCAGAAAGTAAACCATCTTCAAAACTATGTGCACTTTTTACAGACAAACTATGGCAATTTTGGAAACCAACTCCAAGATAAACAACAGGTTTGAAAGAGATTACCAAAATAACTCAAGAAACTGATATTTTGCCTTATAATTTGACTGAGCAAGGTAAATCATAGGCTAGACAATCTTAGATTTTATTTATTTATTAATTATTAACCTATAATTTACTGGCATTTTAAAATGCAGAGAAATATGCAGTAAAACCAAACTTAAACTTTCATACTTTAGGCCTTAGTCTGCTAATTATGCCATATTCTTTTTGAAATGTTATAAAATGAGACATAAGGTTTCACAGGAGTCATTAATTGACTGTAGTACAAAAACTTCAAAAGCATAGTTTCTCTTCATTTGAAGTAATTTTTTAATTTCTCTGTGCCAAGTATCGTAATTATCTGTTACAAGGGAATCTAAATTTGTGTTGAAACTTTCTATGTCGATGCTTTAGTGCATAAGTCTGCGCCACTGAAAATCATGCAATGAGAGAAACGTAAATAAATACAGACTGATTCAGCTTGGCATCTTTATTAATACTACTGACCAAAAAATAAATGCAAAAATTGGAAAATATTTTACGTGTTTTATACCAAAGTTGCATTCATGCATAACTACTGAACAAACAAGACCTAAGAAATCTTTCAATTGGCTGTTCATGGATGGTATTGACTTTTAAGACAAAAGAATCCTATTTGTGAATATATGTAGATGCATATAAAATGTCTGATAAGCTAACTGGGATCTTTTCAAGTTAAAAACTCCACAAATTCAGGGCTACATGGAACTCAAATCACAAGCTGGTTTGAAAGATTCTGAAATAAAATCATCTTCCTGCAATACTCAAAAAATAAGCATTTCAGATAACAAAGTAGAACAGTGATTTTTGTATTATCTGAAGCCATGGGATATTAAACCCCAAGCCAGATCTACAAATAAGCAACTGACCATGTACATATAAGTTTTCTTTTTTTGTTATGGTTGTTTAATGATTGGTTAGCAGTTAACTAAGCGACTTCTGTTTTAGCAGTCAAGTTTATGCAACTAATGCTTAGTTTAAAAATAATTGGAGGAAACTTATCATGGTCAGATTTTGTCCTTTGACAACTTTTAAATACATTTGCTTGCATTTTCTTTCACGATCTGATACCCCTACTTTCAGCTTCACTGTCAAGCAGGTGATAGTCCCTGTTTCATCTCATGGTAATAACAGAGGGTTTCAATATTCATTCTAGTTTTCATAGATAGCATACTGATGCAATCACCCCATCAAATTAAGTCCACTTTAAGGTATGTCACTCACTTACTAAGTCACTTTAAGTAAGTTTATATACCTTTCTTTTCTTTAAGATCATTTTGTTTCCTTCAGGTTTCCTAGTATATAAATGCTATTATGAAACATAATTAGGTATATGTTGTGTAAAAAGCTGAAAGTGCCCAGATCTGATTTTTCTTCTACATTATTTATATGTTATGCTATACAGTTTTCCCCTTTTCAGTTTCTCTTATCCTCTGTAAAATTATTCTATTAACCAGCTCCTGAAGAAGCCAGAGGAGAAAGAAACCAGATTGAAAGAAATCAATATATCTAGGTCTACGAGGAAGGATCTTAATAGCAGATGCATAAATTAGACTTGAATGAAAAAAAAAATCAGTTTTGTAAATACAAGATACAAAATATTTTAGGTATCGCTTTCAAAGTTAAGAAACAAGACAATAACACGTGTGATTATCATTTAAAAATAATAATACATTACAATGCAAACAGTATGTTTTGGTGAGGGAGTTCAACTCTAAGTTTTTTTTTTGTTTTCTTAGTGTCAGAGTTGGGAAAATCTAGGGAGAAATCTGCAACTACACATCTAAGGTTAATGACTGCAGCACTGGCAGGTATTTAGCTTTGAACATGCCTTGCAGTTGATAAAAGACCAAATACAATAGTAAATCAACAAGCTTACCATGTTTTACTTAAAATAACCTCAAACAGGGTTTTAGAACAACACTTTTTTGATAAAGTATTAAGACCGGGTGATTGAGATATAATTAGAGTATTGATGAGATATTTTTGAAGGGATAAACAGTTCTATTGATTTAACTTATCTTGGCTCTGAAACCTTAAACTCCAGAGCTATTGTTAACCTCAGAAAAAACTCCATTTAATTGTTAATAAATAACTTTAAGAACATTCTCCAATGATACGGGAAGGGCTTCAATTTCCAAGTCTAAAGCAAAAATTCAAGAAAAAAAATTATGGGCGTAATTGTAAGAAGTCTAACACTACCTCTTTTACACTGATTATGACATTGTCATTGAAAGAAGTTTTCTCTAGCTAGTGTGTGAGAGAGAGAAATGGTCATTAATTATCTAGTAAAGTGTGTGCTGTAAGAAACACACAAAGAGGATTCAAGAGCAGAGTGGATTGGTTACTAAAGAAAAAGACTAGCGCTTCACCAATTGACTGGATAGGTAGAGAATTTTATAACAATCATATCGGAACTGGCTTCATATTTCAACGAGCGCTCTTTATAACAACTCCTTAACATTTTTTTTTTTCTTGGCCCTGATTCGAGGAGTTTTAACAATAGATCCTTGGCAAATATTGTATCTTCTGCCCGTCCTAGGACTCCAATTATCACCGTAAATGACGTTTAGGGATCACAGTCGCCCCTCAATCTTTACTGCCACCTGTCCATACTCTTGGGCACGCACGCGCACGCGCGCGCAGACACTGCCGTGAGCGCGCTCTGCATTCACCAAAAAATAGTAGAAATGAAGGTTCCAAACCCAGACACATACCCACGCCCCGTGCAAAAAAAAGGCAAATAAACATGGAGCAGAGTCTCTGACTAGGTCAGGATAGGACATTTGCTTTGTTGGAGTTCCAGTCCTTTCGTCTACAGTCTTCCGGGACACAAAGCCAGCGTCTTCTTCCAAGGAAGAAATCGCGAAGGGCATCTAATCAGGGTTCTTTCCGAGCTGTTCCTACTCCTCTTCCCTTCCCACCGCCTCTCCCCACCTCCACCGGAGACATAGACCCCAAAGGAGTACAAACTCCTTTCCTAATCCCGCTCTTTAAACTTCTCTGGAGGTACTCAAGCCTCCACGCAGATTCTGCGCTCAGTTCCCACGCGCCCGCTCTGGTCTCCAACTTTGCCTACTCGCTCTCTCCCGGCATTTCTTAACTTTTCCCACTACAGCAAATGGTGGGGACGAGACTCAACTGTGAAAGCGGGAAAAAAGATCATTTTGACCCCGAAATTGATAGATGACCGAATTCCCGCCCCCCACCCCGATCCGCCCCCGAGAGCATTCATTAGCATGAAACTGCAGCGGCCGGGCACCGGGTCCGCGGCCTCCAGGGCTCGCGCGCTCTGCCGGGTTGGAGAAACCACGGCATGAGGTATTCAGGTCCGCAGAGCATCCAGTGCAAAGTCTGCACCTGCTCACTGCGTGAGTTACCAACCTTAAAAGAAAAGAAAGAAAGAGAAGGGGGAAAAACAGTTTGGAGAGAGCGCGCGCGCACGCGCGCGGGAGAGCGCGCCGTGGTCTTCCTTCCCCACCTCTCCAGCTCAGTTTCCAAGAGTCTCTGGCACCCGGTCACCTCCCCCTACAGAGGGAAAACTGCTTTGCCCTCGTTTTCCCGGGCAAACGTACCCCTTTATCGCCTTTGCACACGTACACGCTCACACGCGGACACACGCACACATGCGCACACACAGAGCCCCCCCCCTCCCCCCAGCGGGCTTTCTCCCGGGGCTTCGGGGCTCAACTCCCCGGAGATGAACCCCGCGCTTTTCGGCCTCAGAGGCCGTTCCCCTCCCGACCTCCAAGGGGCCCCTCCCTCGGCTCTCCGGCCGGGCCCTCGCCCCGAAAGCACCTTCAGGCTCCCCGAACCCTGCAGGGCAGGGTCACGACCTCCCCGCTCCCCGGGGACGCCGCTGGGCGCCGCGCACCCAGCCCCAGACCCCCCGGCCCCCTCGGTCCCCCGCAGCGTCCCGGGGCGCGCCGAGGCCCCGGCTCCGAGGGGGCGCACAGGCGCGCGGCGGCCCCAGAGGGGTCCCCCGACGCCGCCGCGGCCCGGGGAGGAGGCTGCGGCTCCTCGGGAAGGCGCCATCCTCAGCCCTCCCGCCCCCTCCGCCCCGGGCTCGGAGTTCCCGCGCCCGCAGCAGCCCGGCCGGGGCGCCCAGGCGCGCGAGGGGCGCACGGGGCGCGCAGGGCGCGCTCGCTCTGCGCGGGGCCGGCGCCAACTTCTCAGGGGGCCGGGAGCGGCCGGCCAGCCCCGAGCGCGGGCGGCAGAGGCCGCGCTCGCCGAAGCGCGCGGCTCGCGGGCGCGCGGCGCCGCCAGGGGCGAGGAGGCGGGCAGGGGCCGGGCAGGGGCCGGGGCCGGGCCGGGGCCGGGCGCACCCCCCGAGCTTACCTGGCGTTGGTGCAGTCATTGTAGAGGGTCTCGAAGTCCTTCCTGGAGATGAGTTTGCAGCGGTTCACCCCGGGCTGGATGGCGCCCAGTCCCCTCAGGATGCGAACCTGCTCCACATTGCACACCACCGGCGTGATCTCCAGCCGCTTCAGCTTGGTGTAGACCGTGTGCAAGCCCCCCACCAAGTGCTTCAGGAACAGGTCGAAAGCCTGGGGCAGGCAGATCAGCTCGCAGCCCTCCACCGTGAAGGAAGCCACTTTCGCCCCCCTCAGATCCACCATTTTGCACTCATTATTCTGGGGGGTGTTTTCCACTGGGGACGGGGTCGAGTACACGGGTTTCCCGGGGAGGGGGCCGCAGCTGCTGCTGCTGCTGCTGCTGCTGCTACTGCTGCTGCTGCTGCTGCTGCTGCTGCTGCTGCTGCTGCTGCTGCTGCCGCCGCCGCTGCCGGCGCTCGCGTTGCTGGGGGTGCTGGAGGCGCCGCCGCCAGCGCTGATGCTGCCGCCGCCGCCGCTGCTGCCGCCGCCGCCGCTGCCGCCCGCGGCCGCCAGGCTGGGGTTGCCGCCGCCGCCGCTGCTGCCGCCGCCGCCGCCCGTGGAGGGAACCGCGGCCGCCGCGGCCGCCGAGGCGCCGGGCTCTGCCCGGAACAGAGTTGGCGCCGCGGACGCCGGGGGCCCGCCGGCCGGCGCCGGGGACGAGGTCGCCGAGGAGGTGGACGTGGAGGTGCCGGAGGAGGACGCGGACGTGGAGACCGGGGGCTGCGGGGCACCAGCTGGGCCGGGGGGATCAGCGCCGCCGGCACGGCCATGGCCACATAGACGGGGAGCCGCGCGCCGGGGCGGCCGGGGGGAAGTGGCCGCGCGCCCCGGGGAGGGGACGGGGGCGCCGGGGGCACGGAGCGGCGCGGGGGCGAGGGCGGCGACACCTCCGGGGGAGCGCGGGCGCCGGGGCGCGCGGCGGGGGGCGCCGGGGCGCGCAGGAGGGGCGCGAGCCGGGGGCGCTCCGGCGAGAAGCGCTCCAAAGTGTCCCGCGCGGCGGCCGGCGAGTCCTCTCCGGGGGCCGGGATCGGGGGCCGCCTGGGGGGGGGCGGGGGGCGGGGAGGGGCGGCTGTGGTCGTGCGGGTCCCGCTCTAGCATAAAGTTGGGGATGAAGGTGAAAAGGAGGAGGTTTGGAGGACTTGGGATCTCCCAGGCAAGCACATTGATCAGAGATTGAGAGGGGAATGACAGAGAGAAAATGAGCTGAAAAGTGCAGGCTGCCGGCTGGACGGGGTGTTGTTGTCACACGGTGCAGAGGGGAGGAGCTCCGGAAACTTGAAATACCCTTTGAAGCCGCAAAAACCTCACTCACTAGTATTAACCCAAATTATCCAACCAGGAACTCGGAGCACAGACTCCGAGCGCGCGGGGCGCACAGGGAAAGCGAGTGAGCGAGAAAGGGGGGGCTGCTGGGGAAAGGGGGGGCTAGGGGAGGGACGCGGAGAAAAGGCCGGGGGACACACAAGTCGCCAAAGGAAAGGCAGAGGCAGAGCTGCTTCTGCTCCTCTTCTGCGCCCGTTAGATTGCACGGGTAATGCTACGTTTCTTCTGCAACAACTGGTGATTTATTTGTTATTTTTTTTCCCCAAAACCTTCTAAGCTCACCGCTGGCCCACTGAGAGAGGAGCCATTCCGCTCCCAGCTCTCCTGCAAGGGTTTAGGGTTTAGGATCCGTCGGTGTTTCTCTTTGCAAGGAGATCTCCATGAAAACACATCCTCTCCCTTCCTGATGAGGAAGGAATTATTTTGAGGAAAATGCACGTGCAAGCGAGGCGTATATTTTATGGATCCGATCGGGTGTTTTTTTTTTTTTTTTTTTTTTTTGGTCTGTGACACTGTTTATTTGCATAAAGATAGTAAAAATTCCAGGACAGTTTTCAAGTTGCTGGGGGGGGCGGGGGAATCTGTCTGAAATCGCTTAAGAATAATGGACGGGTCTAGAGGCAGTTCTTATTGCCTAATAGATTGTGGTAAGAGAGATAGGCTTGCCATCATGAAGAATGTTCGAAATAACTTCATTTTTGCCTGAAAGGCGGTCAAAAATGCCTGTTTTACCTAGGGAATGCGAATAGATCAGGCACCCGTGAGGATTGAGAAAGTGCAAAACAGGCACACACGGGGTTTTTCTCACATAAAACTCTATAATTAATTCACCTGTCTGTCCAGTAACCAACTATCTTCATGTCCTTTAAGACTGGAGGCTGGTTGCTAATGTGTTATGCGAGTAACATTTTTTTTTCATATTAGAAAAGTCTCAGTATATTTTGAGAAACGCCTTTTCAGTTTATCAGTGAAAATGTATTCTGTAAATAATGAGAAGAACAAAAACAAAGCCCATTAATTGACTTGTAAAGGCAGAAAGGGTAGCTATGCTTAAAAACAACATCAGACTGAGTTCAGACTGATTCTTTTTCTTTGCCTTCCTTTCTCCTTTTCTTCCCTTTTCTAACTTGTTGCATGGGAGTATTTATTCAGGGATTTTTAACCAACGTAAGACTGAGCATAGGTCAAGTCTGTTTTCTGTTTATATCTCTAGGAATCTGAAGTAATTAGGCTTTAAACCTGTCTCTACATGTTCATCAACTTCGCAAGATATGAGACAATGCTTTATTACTGAGCAGATTTTAAAAAAAAATAAACTATTTGTGTCAGGTTCATAATGTTGGGACATTTCATGATGAAAATTTTGCCATTATTTTCACGTTTCTTTTTAGCATTTTAATTCTTTAAAGTTTGGGAAGTTTAGTGTCAGAAGATACAGGGAATGTCTACAGAGCAGTATGACACTATTAACTAATTTGTCTCATTTTATGGTAAACTTTTTGGGACAAGGCAGTTATATAAGGAGGCTTTTCCTTGATCATAAGAATTCAGACAATTGGTTGTTACCAAAACGTACATAAACTTCTAGAGATCACACAAGTACACAGAGTTGTTTGGCCTAGTTAGCCAATGTATTTTAATACAGTTAGAGATAACTTATGTTAATGTTTCACTCCTCATATCTGTCCTAGAGTAAAAATAAGGATTCAATACCTGTAACGTATCGTAACAATTCTTTACAATTCTTTGTGGATAATGTTACCTTTTTTAAAAAGATGAAATTACTGTGTTAATCAGTGGTAGGGAGGGAAGGAGATACTAAGTCCCAAAAACTAATTTTATTTTGGAATGTATCCACAACTTTAGTAAACCCTGATTTAGTTTAAAAACTCTAAAATACTTTGTTCATAATAAACTGCAGACCACAAAGAAAAAACGTCTGAATTAAATGCCAAAAATCTACCCATTCTCTTTTCTCACATTTTTTTAAACTGTCACTTCCCCAGTACCTGTCACATTTGCAAGTCTTATACAGGAAGTAATGATAACTGACCAAGCCTTAACTGCTTCAAGCAAACTTCAAATTTCTGCAGGGGAGCCTTTGCCTTTCCAGCACAGGATCCCCTGAGAAGCCAGCCTTCCAGCGTTTGTCCTCACCTGAATGGAAGCTTCCCCATCCTCCACCCCCCACCTCAGGACTCTGTAAACGCTTCTGGGAACTACCATTTACCCCTTTGATCAAACAATAGGATTAGAGAAAAGATATAATGCAACCTGAAATATGTTGGAAAGAAAATTTAAGATTTCTATTTTTTAGAAATGTTGCCAATGATTAAGGCAAACAGTATTTAACCAGAGCAGATAAATCAACTCCAGAGATTTCAAATTCTCACTCTTTGCAGTGCATCGTTGGCTTTCAAGGCGTTTGTCTTGTTTGTTTATTGTTTTTACATCTCTGGTTGTTCCGAGTCCTCTCCCTCCATCTCTTCTTCTCCAACCTGCACTCGATTTGCATAAGCAAAATTCAAAGTACTGTAACTGATATTCGAAAATTCTCCCTGTGTTTTGTGAAGACGTATTGTGCTGAAATCAATAAGACTGTTTAAAATTCAAAGACCTGCAAATCGTTCTGTTTGTCCTTTGATAGGGCCTGTGCTGATTAAAATGCTACCAAGAAAGCTTAATTGCTGCACTAATTAAGAAGTCTTTAATTTCTTTCCTAGGATATCGTTTGAAGCTGAGTTTGTACGAGTTCAGGGAAGGTATTTTCTTCCCTCCCTCTGCCCCCTCCTGGCCCCACCCCTCCCCCCTCCTCCCGAGCCCCCGACGACATCCGGATGAATGGGAACTAAAAGAGAGAATGGTCTCAGGTCTCACCACCTATTACTTAAAAATTGGAATAGGGTCCAGTGCAGTATGAAAGGAGTTCTGAGAAGAGCTGTAAGGTTGCGGGAGACAGTAAGGAAATACAGAGTAGCTGTTGCAGCTAAAGTCCCGCTGAATACCTGGATGACAACAGGCACTTTAGCCCGTGATGAGGGCATCTTATTTAGTTAAAAGGGGCAGTGGCAAGGAGATTCTGCTATTGAAAGAGGGGGAATTATACTTTGAATATATGTGGTTTAAAAAAAGAAGACTAAATCTGTATAAAAGTGGACATATAGTTGGGATTTGGTAAGTATCATTTTATTCTGTGAGTATAAAAACATGAATTCTATGGGGATTTATTTTTGACCCTTTTTGTCACCCAGGGAGGTATAGTACTGTATTACATCCATTCATCCTTATCTATTGACCTATTTTATTCACTGATTTCTCAAGTGGGGAAACTGACTAAATGATTTCACAAAGCTTTCTCTGTAATCAATAGTCATTTTTTAGGTTTATTCATGCTGCATTATAATTCTGGTAAATGACTGCAAAGCAGAAGATTGTAAGGAAGATGCAGATATTGACAAAGGGAGAATAAGTCATGTCTTTAAATCTTCAGAGTTTCAATATAGCAATTGATATAGTTATTTTGTAAGAAAAAGACTGAAAATGCATATTTCATAGATTATAAAAAACTAAAATGATTGAGTAACTTAAGGGCAATTCATAGCTGAATATGTTTCTTGAATTTCTTAAATTTTCCTGAAAGCTTTCAGTATCCTCTCCTAATAGCATCACCAAGTGAAACAGAAACAATTTGGGCATATGCAGAAGGAACAACCAGAAAAGGTTCATTATAATCTTATTGTTTTAAATTTTCCCAAGTTCTATGAGAAATGTGCACAGGAAAATACAGATGTATACCTCAGATATATGCTGAATTCCTTTCAGTGACAGGACAAGGAGATAACATGCTTAATAGATTCAAAAGGAGATTTACCATTCCGAGCACGACGTCACTCTAATTATGTTTACTCTAATTGAAAGCAAGGTTTTTTGGAATCTGAAATTACTTTCAGAATTTTTTTTTAAATAATGCAAGTGGATCAAATGTTGATCACAAGCATTTCAATCTTTCAAAATGTATTGGAAAATTAAATGAAAAGTGGAGTTTGGTACAAACAATGCCCCAGGGCAAAAAACAACTAACACTAGATTTTCCAGTCCAGCCATAACACAAATCAATTTGAGCACACTTCTATGGCCAGACTGCCAGATTGTTATGACTGCTAATTCACTCAATCAAAGAGTGCATTAGCACACCCGGCACAAATAGCTTTAACAATAGAGTGCACTTCTGAACAATTCTAAGATATATCACAACCGAGAAGTAAAGAAGAAGATCATTTTTACATCTGCATGTTTACTAATGGACCTGTTTCCTTAGTAGGAAAAAAAAAAAAAAAAAGACTGATACAAACTTCCAGGATAGGTTTACTTAAGAGCTTTCCAAGTCTGGCAAATCTAGAAAGATATCAGGGTACCAGTAGTTCAATGACTTTGTTAAATGTTTCTC